CCTTTAATGTTATATATTTTAGATATATGTGGATTATCTCCTTTTATATGTGCAAAATGTGGTGATATTAAACTAGTACCAAAACTTAATTTTGTTCGTGATACATTTATAAATAAATTTGATGCTTTTTTATTTTCATTTTTTTTGTTATATTTATTTTCATATTGAAAACTGAAAGTTTTATAATTTTTTTTATTTTGGTTGTATTGTTTAAAAGAATTATGTTTTAATTCTTTCCTTTCTTCTAAATTCGAATCAAATAATGAATTGTTTGAATTATATCTATATTCATTTGGCACCAATTTATTTTCTTTTTTGTAACTCAGACCTATATATATATTTAATGTATGTAAAATAAGAATTATGAGATGTTATAACAAACATGAAAATATTTATGATTCAAAACAGATGTAAAATGTATGTAAACATATTTTTATAAATATTTATTTCACTACCAAAAAAAGAAGATAGTATAGGAAAATAAATTATCAAAATTTTAATTTTTTTCATATTTAGTGTGATTTAAATCTAATTTTTTTTCTTTTTCCAAAATTGAAATGAATCATAAGATATTATTTTAAAAAAATAACACATAATTTATATACTAGTTTAAAATTATTCTTTATGTCGTATTTTTTAATTATATATATATTGTTTTTGTTCTAAGATCTAATGAATATTTGACTTTACTAAAAAAAATTATATAGATATTTGAAATGTGTCGTATCTAATAAAATACATCCTTATGGTAACATTAACTAAATATAACAAGAAAACAAGAAATGATAACATGCACATGATTATATCAAAAATGAAAGAAAATAAATTAAAATAATTATAGTCATTTAAAAATATCTATAATTATGTTAAACACAAAAAATAAAATTCAAAATCAAATCATTTTATTTCAGAATTTATTACAAGTTATATTCAAATTAAAAAAATGATCTAGTATATATTTTTTTTTAATAAAACATAAATTTCATAATTTTTCATGTTGTGTGCGTACATTCTCAATAAAATACTGGAAAATTCAGATTAATTAAAAAGAAAACAAAATTTAATCATAGATTGATCAATAACATTTTTTAATTTACTCAATGAGGATTAAAAAAAAAAAAAAAGATGTATGTATAAATATATTTTAAATGCACTAAAATACTTTTTACCTAAAAAAGCCCACTTTAGGTGAAACACAAAATTTTTTTTGTTAAAAATTAAACATGATATTTAATGTGTAGGAAAAATAAATTTTTTCTTAAACAACAAATTAAATGACATATTTAAGAGAAGTAATTATAGCTATTTTATATATTTATACATTATTTTTTTTTTATCTATGTAATGTGAATAGTTGAAAAGGAACAGAAAAATATAAATTACTTTATTTTAACCTCAATTTCAATTTATGTTTTACTTTATTTTTTTTTTTTTCTTAATTTTCATCAATATTTTTATTTTAATTTAATTTTTCATTCAAAATTTTATTTATTTTTTTATGAGGAAAACTATAATTTATATATTGTAAAATTCCTTTAAGTATACATAATTATCCTAATTTCTAATATTTAAATATTTTTGCATTAAATTCTAACGTGGATTATTAAAATTATAAAAGAATCAAATTTAATATTTATTTAATAAAAGCAATTATTAATTTTATCTAGAATAAAAAAGTAATAGATGTGTGGAAAACATATAATTAGTGGTGCAAGCACCAGATAAAAAAAAAAAGATATTTTAATTTTTTTATGTTAATTTTTTCTTTTGAAAAAGGAATAATTAATTTTGAGGATTGTTGAATAATTTTATTTGT